ATTCACGCATAGCTGCAGATAAGATACATAATTTTTTCAGTGTGATTATAAATACTTTAAAGCAGGGAACAGATCTCGCCAGGTATCTTCCAGCAGTAACTAAACTCACAACCTATGTAATCCTCTTTGAAATACTGGTTTCTCCTTACATAGAGAAATGTTCTGTGCTTTTCTTTGAATTACTGTGGTGCTTCTGTACTGGTGCGCATTGAATTTACCATGGTAGTTAGAAAAGCTGTACTCCAAAAACCTGTTTTTGCTTAAAAAACCCCAACCCTTTATGCAGAGTCCTCAGTTGTGGTAACAACTTTGAAAATATGAACTAGACAGTGCAAAAAACTTCTGGTGAGTTTAAAGATCTCTTGAAACAATAGCACTAAGAGGTATGAAACACTGCATCCTTCTTAAAGGGAGTGTTAATTCTTAACTCGTAAAGACAAGTTCAAGGGACATGAAGTAGGGGAAAAAAAATTAAACGTGCTGCCAGAATAAAAACACATGAAAGTGTCTTCTGAGCCATAGTCATGGTTGCTATTTAAAGCAAGTGGTAACTGTAAGCTCACTTTTTACTGACAGCTACTGCTTTAAATTTCCAAGCTGATACTGGCCACTCCGGTAACTCTCTTCTAATGGATATATCAAATAACTTAGTAAAGGGATTTTCAGATAATCTTTTTCTGGTTTTTGAAAGTTCATCTGCACTGCAGGATCCCCCAAGCAGGCATTCAGTTTCTGCTAAAAGGTCAGCCACACACGTTCCAAGCAGCATTTAAATCCCAGGTAAGTGATCCACAGACTGCAGACAGCCCTTTTTCAACAGCAAATGATGTGAAAAAATGGGACCTATTTTGTTCTGCTTTATTGAAACCAGACATACTCAGAGGTATTTAAAACATTTATTAGCATTAATCATTGTAGGTTAAATAAAACACAAAACCTACATTTTAGGGGAAAAAATATTATTAGGTATGATACAATGAATATGTAAAACAGAAGGTAAAGTATTAACAGATTGCAGCATCCCATACATGAAGCGAGTGGGTCCAGCCCAGTCAAAGCCCTTACACAAAAAAAACAGAGGAAGAGTACTTAGCAGGTGATTTTAAACTGACAATTTATCACTGACTCTGGTTTAAATAATTAAGGGTAGGATAGTAAAATATACTATCATTGTACTGAGAAGGTCTGATTATAGTCAGAGTGCTCGCATGTATAATCTATCTGGTCACACTTATTACCACGTGCCATGAAGGATTAGTGGAGACAAGGGACGACAGGAAACTTTTCTAGGTATTGATACAGACCTATGTTATATTGTGGCACTTTTTTTTTTTTTTTTTTTTTTTTTGCAGTGTACTTTGAATACTTCTGAGTCCCAATTCCTGGATAGTAATGGCCTTTTTTAGATTTCTCAGTCTGCTAGACAAACTTTTTCTACAATATGCCATTTTCATGCATAAGAATGGCAAGTCAAGAATTGTACCTATGTGCATCTCCATCTTCTCGCTACCTTCGGTCTGTAGCTTTAAGTTCATAGAGGTGAAATGATCATTAACAAAAAAATGTACTTACAGAATACAATGTGCAGTATATGAGAACCAGACATAGTGAAAAAACACCACGTGTCAGCATAACAATATAAAACTGTACTTATATACACACCCATATGCAGAGCATATATGAAAGCTCGTTCCTTCATTATCTCGTTTTTAAACTAGTTTATGGCGAGCCAGAAAAGCAAGTCACCCACAACTGGACAGTCACAGCCTTGAGTCACGGTGCAAACAAGCTCCACCAAACATCCTTGGCACTGCAACCTGTGCTTCAGTCCTGCGGCCAGCTCTCTTGAGAAAACGAGTCTCGGACAAATCCAGCACCAGCTGGCCAACCAAGAACTGCAGCGTTATTATTATTCTTCTTATTATTCGAGCAGATCAGCTACGGAGTCAGGTGCTCCTGTACAGCAATTTAGCTTTTCACCAGCCATTAACTACTAAGAGGAATTCCGGTTGCTGCTGAAACTTCTGACTCCAGGTTTGGGCGTTTTTTGTATGTCATTTTTCTGGCTGTTTCTGAAGGGTTGGTGGTACTTTCCAAGCAACACAGGCAACAAAAGGAAGTAGAAATCAAGAATTTTACATTTGAAAATCACAATTTTTAAAACAAACCATTCCCCCCTTTGAAGAGGCAGGTTAAAGCTGCACTTCAGCTTTGACAAACAGCAGAGACATCATCATCATCGCAGATGAGCCCTGTCTTCACAGAAAATGCGAGCTGCTCCGCACAGCACAGTGGCCTGTTATTTTTTCACCTGTGACTTCAGAGTTCCCTACTGAAGCTCACCATAACCCAAATCTCAGAAACTTACACAATCAGAATCCGTATTCATTTACATCTTTTTCTTGACTAGAAGCAGAATAAGGTGATTTAGATTTGGCCCACCAAACACAGAAATATCTTTGAGCCTACTTACCCAGCATTTTAATTTTAAAATCTGCCAGAGATCCATTATAACAACTTCCAATTTTGAACTATTTTAACATACAGCTCATAAACCTGTTCTGATTCACATACAGCTCAATGGCATCTTTGAGAGCTGGTTGCTCAGGACAGTATCTGCTCCGCACAGATCAGCATCAATTGCCAGTTCTAGCACAAATTAGAGTATACAAGCTACTGGTAGAATTGTCTTACAAAGCTTTCAAACATCTCAAGTAGGGTTTAAGGAGTTCTGAGACATCACGTTAAAAAAAGGAAGTATGCCACAACTATTTATGAAAGCTTAAAAATCAGTTATGCATAACTACTCTATGACACCTTTCAAAACATCGGTTCGATATCACCTTGTTTTCTTGGTAACACCTCTAGCCTTTCACTTGGTTTTATTTAGGAAGAACCAGACCTCTTGCAGCCTTGGGTCACACATCCCATAAATTATATGAATGTGATATTGGTAACCGTGCTATTTCTTAAGTGCTGAAGGGCAGGTTAACCCCTCCCTCCACAGCCAGGTGAAAGAGCCAGGCACCTCTGACAGACTTGCTTGTACTAGGATGGGATGAAACGTTCCCTAAAGGAGCCTGTCTCCTCCCCAGCTATCAACAACGATGATTGCTAAATTTTCATTTAAATAACCCTGGATTATCTGTAAAATAGTTGCTGCAGTGAAGCAGCGAGGTGGTTCATACATCAGCACAGGTGACAACTGAAAGTTTACCTGAATTATACTTTCTCATGGTAGCTGCCCAAGTCTGTGTATTATCCAAGGGCATACTTCCCAGTATGAGTGCTTTCAAAGGAGTCTAAAATATCTGAGAAATGGATTATACATGAAAAAACGATGCAGCTTAGATTCTTGAATAAAATCCCGTGGGATGTTTCCCACCTATAACTACTTCAAGCCCTCTGAAGACAAAGAAATGTTCCTGTTGATTTCATCTGGCTTTGTTTCAAGCCCTAACAATTAGTGCTGTTTTATCAAAGCAATCTCACCACCAAGCAATAACTTCTGTTTTTTATGTATAAACACGGAAACCTAGCTCTAGCCTGCCTGTTCATGATTGTGGAAAGTTGTTTTTCCCTTGTGTTTGCTTTTTGAAAGTCCCCCAACAAATGTGCAGTGAGGTTTATTTTCCTCATAAGAGAACAAATTAACGTTGTGGAATGCAGGCTGGGCTTTGGTTTTCAAGCTTGCATTTCTTACCCTAGTTCTGATTTCCAATGAAACTGATGAAGAAGATAAATTCATATTTTATCATTTCAGTCACACACATTCATGAAAGACAGAAGTGGAGAATACATAGAGTTTTGCATTATTTCTAGTTCATAACCACCTATTAGAATTTTTTTTCTACACTCTATTTTCAAGTGCATCGAGCTTCAAAGGTATCATGCAGCGGGTCTTCCATACCGCATCCCCACATGGGTGAGGAGACGACTCCACAAATTCACAAAATTGCATTTGTAAAGAAACGCTCTGGTTTGTTTTACTAGGTTCCAGCCTTTGACCTCAAATTTTGTTGTGCTCTCTGAAGCTGGTTTTGTACAGAAATACCGTTCTTCTGACTTGAAGACTTCTTGGAGCACTGAAGTGAGACCACGAAGGAGTGGGGTAGCATGGCCCTCTCTTTTAGCAACCAGGGAAGTGGCATCTTTGAGCGGAGACAACTTTGGTCTGGGGCACAGATTTGGAGGAAACCTGGTAAGCAGCGGAAGATGAAGCTGGCATTGATGTTCTTTTTACAATTTCAGTAATTAATGAAGCCTACGCCCTGGAAAGGGAATCAATCCAGGCAAAGCACAGTGGCTGCGTCTTCACTTCTTTCTGGAGCAGACTGGGAACTGCATGGGGTCCAGCAGCCTCCTTCGTGACAACTCCTTTCACATACACAGCACCTCCTGACACAGATTTTGACTTCTAGCCTGTAAAAACTTAATTCGCTCATCCTTTGGATCCATTTTTTTTTCTAGTTAGCAGATTTAGTCCATTTCTTGCTGATGTTTACTGGAAGTAGGAGATGAAGCTACAGACTTAGAAAAATACAGAAGCAGAGTCCAGCTAGAAAGATGACAGAGAAACTATAAGCCAAAATTCAGGGTTTATGGGTTTTTTTCACTGTATTATTACAGAGAAAACTCTAAAAACATGCCAAGTCCACTTTGCAATGTAAGAAGAGAAGTTTTTGCAGCAAATCTAAAATTTATATATAAAAGGGTCTTTTTATTAAAAAAAAAAACAAACAGTCATTGGCCTAAACAGAGAATTGGAGTACTTTGACATTGTAATTTTGACAGGATATTAGAGAGGATTTTCCAACTGGTTTTGCAAAATTCCTTTGAAGTAAAGCTTGCTGCTTCTGGTCCTTGCATTATTGCTCCTGGGAAGTATTGGAATGACTGCTTTCAAGATAAGGAGGCATGTCACTGAGATCACAAAGTCCTTTCTCAGTGAAAAAGTAAATGGTGCTGTTTTCAAGTAAACCTAAAAAGATCAAGTTGGGTCAGCAGCACCGCCTACCCATCTGTGAAGTCTGCTTTCCAAGTTTGATTGCTCCATTGTTACCATTTTCATGAGGATCTAAGGGTGGAATTTGCCGACCTGAAACACATAAGGAGACAGTGAATTCAATTTTCCTGATGTAGTAACAACACATGCAGATAACAGAACGATTTGGCTTGTGTAAGAATTACATCTGTGAAAGTTCACCAGAAACAACCGTCTCCTGTGTGCCTTCAATCTTTTTCCTTTCATCCTGCTTAAGAAAGATGATTTTCACATTTAAAAAAAATATATGGAATATAGCTATTGAGAATGCATAAAGTACACTGAAATTCTGTGTTTAAAAAAACAGTTATCTTACTGGCACCTTACAACTAAGGAAGAGAAAATTCTTGGCTTTTTCCTAATTCCACTTAAATGTGAATGGTGCTAGTTTTAATGAGATCTTGCCTGTCCTAAATCTGCATGGGATTTAGTCCTTGTATGCTAGGGTTTTACAAAGCACTATAACTAAACACATGCTGCCTATACTTGAAAAACAAATCTGTTTTTTTCATTGAATCCTTCCCTCCCTTGAGGAGTACCCATGTCTTTCCAGTTGACAGCTTTGATTACTTAACACCACCCCCCCAACTCTCCTGACTTTTTAATCATCTTATGGGGTGATTATTTTAAGTGTTTGAAAGAATTTCAGCCATCACAGGAGAGCTAGAGATGTCTCCCAGCGGCAGAAGGCACTGCTCCAACTCCCTCCCCCGTGTGCCCTTTTAGAACTGCCGCATCTTTTGTCTCACTGGCTCCCTACTCATGGACAACATACAGTGTGCTTAATAACCAGAATTATAAATTGAAAAACAAGATCTTCCCAGGTCCAATCTATCCTGAGTCTCTGGTGTGGGCCTGGCTTTTCCATTAAACCCACTGAGTGATCTCTCCCTCGGTATCTTGGAGTGTTTACAGTCATGGTAACGCATTTTCTCACTACCTTGTAGATTTGCTGGAAATTTTTACTGAAATTGAATCTACTTACTGTGAATTACTCCTGGTTTTACTATAACTCATGTTAAATAACAAGAATTAAAATATTTAACATTTGTTTGTTACATGCCACTTTCAGAGAGCATAAAGTTCCTGTGAATAGCTCATCACATCCAGGTGGATTTTACAGTTTAGATTTCCCCATCCTCTGCTGCATTTATTCACAGCTCTCTCTCTTGCCAAACATTCTATGAATTATGTATGTATATGTTGAAGCCTGAGTCCTACAAATTGCTTGGGGAGGTGGTTGTGGGAGGGTGAGTTAAAAGCATTCAGGTAAAACATAATCCCAATGAAATCAAACAGCAAAACTTCAGCTGTAAAACTTGTCCCTACATTACCTTGAGTCCAGCCCACCGAAATTCCACCTCTCTTGTTCAGTCAGTTCTGAATAGGTATGTTATACAACAAAAGTGTGACTTCTGAAGCAGATAATCTTGGGTGTTTGTACAACTGAATGAGAGGCGGAAAATTCCTCACATTACTAAACTAAAGATACTGTATTTGGTCCAACAGAGTGAGAAACAGATATCTCGAGGGCCGAAGCATGGGTAAGCACTGACATTACAATGCTGCACTCTAAGTCACTAAAATATCAACCTCACACCCTGCTCACCTTATGTTTGGGCTTCATGTTTGTAAGTGCCCTTCCAAAGTAAAATCAAAAGCAGGATGAAACTAAAGATACTGTATTTGGTCCAACAGAGTGAGAAACAGATATCTCGAGGGCCGAAGCATGGGTAAGCACTGACATTACAATGCTGCACTCTAAGTCACTAAAATATCAACCTCACACCCTGCTCACCTTATGTTTGGGCTTCATGTTTGTAAGTGCCCTTCCAAAGTAAAATCAAAAGCAGGATGAAACTAAAGATACTGTATTTGGTCCAACAGAGTGAGAAACAGATATCTCGAGGGCCGAAGCATGGGTAAGCACTGACATTACAATGCTGCACTCTAAGTCACTAAAATATCAACCTCACACCCTGCTCACCTTATGTTTGGGCTTAATGTTTGTAAGTGCCCTTCCAAAGTAAAATCAAAAGCAGGATGGGTGGTTATAGACACAGTTCTTCCATGCATTAGTTCTGTTGTGTTTTCTCTCCATTACGTACCATCACCCAAATACTTGCTAAACATTTGGTTCTTCTAACAGTAAATTTGGAAAAAGACAGCTTGTAAACTAGCTTAACTTTCATTCTAGAAGTCCACACTAAACAACTATGTTACCTCTATTTGTTTTTCACTCCATGTTTTGTATTTCTTGTGAGTTTCAGGTCTTTTCTAAAATACTCTTGAGGCGTATGCAAAGAAGCAGGCAAGCTTATCTTTGAAGCAAAAACATAGCAGGCTTCAAGGTCATTGAGCACTTTGTCCAGTTCAGAGCAGGACACAATATATGTCATTAAGAACCACCTTGATTTATTTCATTGCTCAAAACGATAAAACCTACACAGATAACAAACTACAAATAATAAAGAGAAAAAAAATCTCTAGACGTAATGTTTGCTGATTAGTTATTCTGGCCTTTGAACTTAAGTACTGTTTGTCATTAACTAGTCATGTTGTCTGCTGTTTGTATACCCCCCCTTGAATTCAATCCAAGGAAATAAAGCTTTAATCAGTCTAGAAGTTTTTCAAGGTTAAGGATTTTTTTTTTAGTAGGTGAGTTTTCTCTCACTTACTACCAGATTTACTAAACCACCAAGTTACACCATTTTAGTTTTAGTAACAAGATTTATCCCTGCCCAAGCAGCTTTTACCATCTGACGCACAGTTGACAAGAAAAACCCTCTTGGAGCGTAAAACTCAGTCTAACACCTCAGAATCAGCTCCACAGCAAATGATACAGTGTTTTTTCACCAAGGGTCAGGGAAGCAGATAAAAATGATCAGTAGAAATCTGTTTGACCGATTTTCTTTCCCTGGGTCTCCTCGACAGCCAGTCTCGCAGCAGACGCAGTAAGAGAGAAAGGTTTCAGCAGCAGCAGAACACTCAGGATGAGCAGTGAAATGCTGACCCTGCATCTGCACTTCCCGCTTCTAAACCAGCTCAATCACTGCTGCTCCCTCAAAGCACCATGATCATCACATCTTGTCATTCAGCTCCTGATAAATATGGGATCCATATTGCTGACACCAACTCAAATATAGCTGGCACGGAATCAGGATCAACAGAGGTCATAAACTGAATTAATTTAGAAAGAATACACTCATTTTAAAGTGTATGTCTCACTGGCATACATAGTCTCTGTTCCAGAGCAATAAAAAATACTCCTGTATTGGATAACCTACAGCACTGCTAATTTATGCTATTTCTTTCATGCAGTTGATGTCAGAAAGGGGCAGCAGTGCCCTGACATCCAGCTCAGCAATGACAGAGTATGAGCAATGAGAAAAATGAAAACTGGAGCGGGGCAGCAAGAGAGACAACAGGGACTGGATGACAGCTCCACATGCAGAACTTGCAGGCAGGCAGATGGGGACTGCTCTGCTGCAGCTGGAAGCAGAATGCATCATCACAGTAATAAAATCCACTCTTTGTTACTTTTTGAATGCGATGCTCCAGTTATAAGCTGTGACATCCATTAACTTAGAAAAATCAGGCTTGGAGTTGGGCTTTTTGGTTTTGTTTAGCTTTTTAACATTAAACTAGTTCCATTATTGACCTGTACAAGACTGCGTGAAAGGTTGGAAACAGCCTCAAAGTTGAGTGTAAGGAAAAAACCCAACTGGTTACTATGCTGACAAAGAGACAAACACAACAGTGCACTGAACAGATGCTCTTTCAGTGCTTAGTGGAAAGGAAAACCTATGTGATGCAATCAACCTGAGCTGGCACTTCCAGATGATGAAGTCCAAGTCCAAAAGAAGCACAGTCCTAACATCTAACACAACCACAACAATTCTCCTAAGGGTAAGAGTCAATCACGGTCCCATCCTTCCTCTGTCTGAAAGCTGTGTACAACTTTTATTTTTTTAGGGGACTGAGGGAAGGGGAGTTTTTTGTCAGTGCAGGATGTGAAATCCATTTCACTTCGCCCCGGAGCAGCAGCCTGACAAATGCCGTGGCATACTGGGGATATGACTGCTGTGGCTCACCAGAGAAAAGCCAGACTTCTTCAAGTAGTGGTACAACAGCTATGCAACGGCCAGAACCTCCTCCTAGAACTGCTGGCTGTATCATAGCAAGGTGAGCCCCTGCAAAGCACTGCTCTCCATAAAACTCCTTAATGAATGTTATGGTTTAACCCAGCAGCTGGCAACTAAGCACCAGACAGCCGCTCGCTCACCCCTCCCCTTCCCCCGCAGTGGGATGGGGAGGAGAACAGACAAAAGTAAGACTTCTGGGCTGAGATAAAGACAGTTCAGTAAAACACAGGAAAATACTACTACTACTACTAATAATAATGAATATGCAAAACAAACAGCACACAATACAGTTTTCTCACCACCTGATGACTGATTCGCAGTCAGTCCCCAAGCAGCTATCGCGGAACCCTCAGGTTTCCCAGAGCTCACGAATTTCACGGATTTTGCCAAACTCACGAATTTAGCAGAACTTGCCAAACTCATGGAAAAAAGACTGAACTCACAGAAAAAAAGAGAATAAAAGAGGATTCCTGCCCCCAGCCAACGCCCATTCACAAACTCAGCATGGCGTCCATGGTATGGAATATTTCCCTTGGCCAGCCTGGGCTGGCTGTCTGGCCGTGCTCCCTCCCAGCTCCTGCACACCTGCTCATTAGCTGAATAAGAGAAACTGGAAAGAGTCCTTGATTTCTTAGCAACTACTAAAAACATCAGTGTTATCAACATTCTTCTGGTACTAAATCCAAAACACAGCAGCTGCTGGGAGGAAAATTAACTCTATCCCAGCCGAAACCAGGACAATAAAGCAGAGCCATCTGTGAAGGCATGGCAGAATGAAACAGGCACATCTTATCCAGCAGTTTTGGCATTTGCATACAAGACTCTTTCTGAACCTTTAGGACAGTCACAAGTCTTATCTCCCCAAATCCTTTCATCCTTTGAAACCAGTTTCACTGGTATTGTAGAAGT